AAAGTTGATAAAATGGTTTGTTAAAAATTTGTAAATTATGTACCCTTATTTGATTTAGAACAACAGCTGTGCTTGTTTTTCTAAATCAGGGGCTCTATGTATAATAATAATAATAAGAAGAAGAAGGTTTAGTTTTTAAGTTAACCTTATATGTGACCGTTCCCCAGTAAAATGGTATACAAAAACCTGGGGTCTGCCGTAATAATAATAGCTGTCATCAATCATTTTATGCGACAGCTTGAGCTCGTATTCCCAAATTGTTTTCCATTTTCTTTATGTCCTAGTAATCCTAGGACCGTATACACAGTACTCTTTGTTATCGGGTCCTATATTTATTCAGAATAAATAATGCTATACATATAATATTATATACATTTATTATATTATAATATATATCTTAATAATACATAGGTGTTTGTGTTTATATATACTCTAATCAATACTATAACAAAAACAAATGTTTTATTTACTCGTTTTTTAGCTATCGTAAATAAAAAAATTCAAAACAAGTTGTCTACTTTGGAAAATCATTCTTACGTATGACATTTTGACTTAAGTAAAATATTGAAATATATATAACCATTACTATATAAAATCGTTAAATATAATAAAAGTTATTGCCTAGTTATCACAGCACCGTGAAAAAACCAGTACATACATATCAGTTTTGTATGATGGGTTATAACACCAAGCTGACGGTCGTGTACTTTGTGGTTGTATGATACCCATCCAAAAAAAATGAGCTATCATTCCGACATAATAGTTGTACTCTAATGGTTATGAATGGAAAGATAAAAATAATAATAATAACGAGTAAGTTTGTATAGGCGTCACATCTGGTGGATGCATTAATTAAATCGTCCGAGCGTTTCTCCGGTTTTTGTTTTTGATAATAATGGAAAACTCAAAATACCCTCTCCGGCCTGCTAGAACAATGGGTTTGATTTATTATGACTTCGTGCAAAGTTTTTAAACAAGAATTAACTGGATTCATTGTTAACTAGGACTTCGAAACTTTTGAAGTTGCCAGGTCCTGAACCAAAAACACATTTTTTTTCAATTAAGGAAAATTGTAATTTTAATAATATGCAACATATTGCTTTTGGGGGTTTTTACTTAACAAGTAACAACACATCACACAAGAGTCCCTTTATAATAACACAGTTTATCATTAAGTAAATAATTAGGTCTTATTTTTACAAGCATAATTATTATGATATTTTAATGTATATATATATATTTATGATGTGAATTGTAATGTATAAAACATTTAGTGGGTTATATTGTAATATTATACTCATAGCATACAAGATTCTCATTTTCATAATGTTCAAAATAAAGGTAATTCAATCGGTAACGGATTACCTACAAACGCCTAATATTGCTTTCTCGTTTATTGTTTGAGTAATATGGTATGTAGTTTAAGGTCACCTAATAAAATAATATTTCTGTGATTCTTAGTTATATTTTATTTGTTGGTTTGTTTTTATATGGTATCCAGTTAAATTCAGCCGTACGAATGTATCAGTTTCTGTCAATGTATTTTATATATTAATTACATTCTAGTATTTTAAGGATTGTTTTTTTTTTGTTGTGTTAAATTGGTAGAATAGACTTCACAAGCGTTAAGAAAATGTCTGTCCAGTTATAAAATTATTAGGTAATTAGTTAAGTTTATCAATTTGTTGAGTATTTTATACAGACAGACGGTGTACAATATCCTTTATAATAAACGGTGTTTATAAGATAATTGACTTCTGTACGGTGTGGTTTTGAAGTTATTCGCATCAGCCTATCAAAAGCCATTTTCGAAGGCTCACTGCTCACGCTTATATAACTTTGAATACGTGTAATCTTTTGTGCCTAATACACGTTGTGTCGCGTACTACGGTTTATGGTCTGGAACATCTGGGGTTTATACGATTAACGAACACCAAACGACGTGGAACCTGGCCAGCAGGTCACGAGATACGTCAGGATTGATTGACTGAGTGCGTTTTACAGCTAATATTTTAAAATAATGTTTTGACCCATTCGACTTGCTTACGATATGGGTTTTGTATTTCCAGCTTATTATTTGTCATTTCTCGGGAAAAGCAATTGTTTAAATCTATTGATTGTTAGTTGTTTCATTAATTAACTACTAAGATTGGGAGCATGAAGTGTTACCCTTGCCGCCAATTGAGATCGGTACAAAGCTAAATGTTCCCCCTAGAAAGTCTGCCAAATAAATGGCTAATTGTAAGTTTGCAAACAATTGAGAGATGTTTAATTACCAGAAAGCGATAAAAGCAAACTAATTACCACCCATTAATATTGTATCAATTATCACCTAACCATTTTCGTTTTACATTTTTTTTTTTTACTGCCTTAGTTTCCCATTTTATATTATATAACATATTGATGGAAAAAAGTTGAGTTTTTACTGTTGTAGAGTATATAAACGCCCGGGGGGATTTAATATAACCCGCATTTATATTATTTTGCACAAACTGGCAAATGAGATGTACCACCGGCGCCGCTTGTGTCACGTTCTTGCACAGTCCCTTGATATCCTATTTCCCCTTTGGGGATTTAAGATGCATATAACTTGTATCTATATACTCACGTACGGTTTAAACCTCGACAAATCGACAATGATTATAATCTCCTCGAATCGGTTGATATAAGATGTTTAGTGATTTGTATACATCCTAGCTTTAGTGCACGTTACAATTTGAGATTACTGAGCTCTCTTGTATATTGTGGGCTGTCATTTCCGTGACTTGCAATTTTCTTCGTACCGACCATATTACACTGTTCATATTTGTTCTCAATTCTTTTCATCTGTAACCCTAACCAGAATCTGCTTTGTATTTGTAGTGCTTGTATATTATGTGTACATGCTTCCAAAGTGTACTCTTGTTGTCGATATACGTTATGTCTAAAAAAAAAGAAACTAAAAAAGATGTTTATTTTGCCCTAAATAACTTACATAGTAGCATAGTTAATATATTTTCAGAGTTTTTGATGTGTTAGTGAACTCTTCTTTGCTCCAATACAATCATTATGATTGTATAATTGAATTGTATAGTTTTCTTTCATGTAGTCTAACTACTAAACTATATTTTTGTGAGTTAATTAAAGAACATAAATCTTTTTTAAATAATTGATTAGAGAAAGTGAATTTACGTGATTAAAGATTTATAATATGAAGCATGAGTGCATTATTTTTTTTAATATCCCCAAGCTCTCGTTAAGCACCAGAAAGGAACTCATTTTATTTTAGCATTCAAAAAATTCTTCTTGCATAAAACATTTTTAGTTTTTAAAATTTAATGAGATTCAGTTAATGATTAAAAAGTTCAAATGTCTGCATAGTTTGTGTATCGTACTGTTAATAATTCTCTTTAATTAAAATGTTGGTTGTGGGTTTAATGATTTTTTCTTTTTATGTTAGGTAATTCATTACTAATCTTATTTCTGTTATGCGGGTTTAATTTATGTATTATATTATATAGTTCGAGCTTTATTTGTTATGAAAAAAGACGTTATCCGAGAGTAATGATCGTTATATCTGGAAATCATATTTATTTTTGTGAAAGTTAAAAAGAAAACATTAGTTGAAGTAATATAAGACAAGTGATATACAACGATGTAAGTCATTTGCATAAAGTTTTACAGGAGAATAAAATAAAAACAATATTTCAACGTATTCTTATTGATGATATTTCTTAAAAAAGCGTCAAATCAAGTTTTTAAAAAATGTATCGTTTAAACCATGTAGGTTCTTATTAGTTTTAACTAATTATTACATGTACTTCACTTGAAATCGATCATTCGCAAATGAAGCTTAAAATGTTATTAAGTATTTTTCTGAGTATTCAAAACTCGTTTAATACATTCAAAATTAAATTAAACAAAATAATTATATTGATTTGCAAGCATTTTTTTCAAATTGATTTAGTAATTCAAAAATTTATTACAATTACTAAATTAAATCGGTTTAATATTATTATTAATAAATAATCTGATCTCAGAAATGAGTATTGACATGATTATAATAATATTAAAGTGCAACTATAATATTATAACATGAATTATAGTATAAAATAGATAATTGTCAACACGCAAGTCGTCCACTTGACTTCAAGTTCGTGTTCTCTTTAAATAATTATTCATTGTAAAAAAATTGTGTGAGTTTAATAATAATAAAAATATGTTAATTTTTACCAATCACTCATTATGTTTACCGTTCACGGTGGCCATTTAAGTTGTATTTTATCAGCTAGACACTTATAATATCAGAATAAAAATAATAATGTACACATTTAACCAATCGTCGTCTCGCGTATTTTATTTCTAAGTGATAAGCTATATATTATAATACACATCATATACATAATTATAAAATAAAAATTGTATAAAATATTGTATTGTACCTATGTCGAAAAAAGTAACATAGTTTGTTGAGTTGAACGTGCAGTAAATATTAATTTTGTTTCCGAGTTTATTCGTTTTATAAAAGCCAAGGGCCAATTTATGAAGTTATTTCCAGCTAATTGACATCAATAAATGTTTGACTTTCGTACCGATCGGAAATTACTTTCTGAAATATTTCTGTAATTTCATCTGTAGGTACCTTGGCCGTGTGTACATTTCGATCAATAAGCTTAATGTCTAAACCTCATATTATGAGTGTTTCTAAAGGTTTTTTTTTCCATTTTTGTGGTATCAATATTGAGCAAAATTGCAGTTTTTAAACAAAAATATAAATCCGCTAGAAATCGCAATATGGCATATGAACTTTTTTATTCATGGCACCTATAATGCAAATTTTTATTAGTATACGCAACTGCAAGACGTTTTTACAGTCTCTGTGATACAGACAGTTTTTATTTTGCAATTTAAAAAGAAAAACATATAAAACCTATGTATAAAATAGAACCGCGTAAGTCGTTAGAAAAGCACTGGGCATATTATTTATTCTGTTATTTATGTGTTTTTTTATTTTTTTACAGCAATTTCGAAAGAAGATCCAGATCGTAACAGAACATCTCGGGATGCTATAACAAACAAACTGGCATTCAACGGTTACTCTGATGAGTTCCTAGATAGGATCGAACCAAACGGAAATATACCTTGTGCTAATGACGAACACTTGTCTAGATATGGTGAGTTATGACATTTATTAGATTATATCAATTTTTTTTTCGTGTCGTAAGCCGCCCTGTTTAAAAAAAAATAAAAATTGCACGTCAAAGTCATTCGTCTTAAAACGAGTTCTATCACTTTAGTCAAATCGCCCTAAACAAAATATTAAGATTTGTAGTTAAAAATCGTTTAGGTTTTACTTTATTGTATTTTTTGACCTAGTAAACGTAATAATACGAGTAGACGCTTATTACTATTGAATTAAGATTTTAGTTTTGACATGGAGTTGAGAAGGTATTTAATTATACCGCGCATTTCTCAACAAACATTTATTATTGAATGCAAAATGATTTTGTGGAATGCTTAAAACGGGGTTTTTAATTAAATTAGCTTTTCTAAAAATAGATATAAATTATTTTCTATGGGTTCGCGAAGTTTGCATAAAAGTAAACGAGATCATTATATGGTAAGCTTATTTAGTAAAGTAGTCCGTAGGGGAGAAGGCCTACGTAAAGAAATCTTTATAATAGGCCATTCCACTAAACTATTGTTTTTTCCTTTGCCGTCGATATAATTATATTTTTTTATTAATCCGTATAACTTATTTTACAATTTGGTTCTTGTTAGACTTTATGTAATTGGAAAAAAAACTAATGTTCTATTAGCAATGACTGTTTTTACAGTTATTTTTATATAGTAATTTTTAAGACGAAGAGGAAAAAGTATGTTTACCGTTCGGACCGTTCCTGTCGACATTGCATATTGATTTTTCTTTTCTTCTGATTTGACTCACAATGACCATTTTCTTTCTTTTTATCTACCAAAAAGGCCCGAAAACACAATGGTGAAGACGTTTTTTTTCACCCCTAACTATACTTACACGGCTTACGTAAATCCTTTGACTGCCACCCCAACAATCTCACATAGTATCCTCTCAAGCTCATTCGATACAAAAGACGGATATGGGTGACGAATAAAGAAAGAAAATTTTTACAATTCAACTGCCTGTCGAGAGTGTGATGGATTTTTTTTTGGAATTTCAGCCGTTGTTTCATTTTCATTTTCTTCTAGAGTTCTGTACATTAAATGTAATTTAGTTTCCATAAAAGCGATTAAACATATGCAATTTTCCACGAGAGTGAGTTTAAATCTAGTATACTTTGCGGGCTAATGTTCAAGTTAAAAAAATTATAATAATACACTATATGTAGATAATTTGTTGCCGTCGGATAATAAAGCGACGCCACATGGATTTTGTTCTCAGCAACTTTATGTTTATAAGAAGAATTACAATAATTTTCTGAACTGATAAATTTTATAATGTCTATTATTATCGCTAAAAATATTAATCAGAAAATTGTTTTAAAATGAATTTGTTTACAGTTATTATTATTATTATTAATAGTGTAATGGTGTTGTAAATTGCAAACGAATAACCTTTAGAAAACAACATGATAAATTATTTATATTATAATGAGTTTAATAATAATAATACGCATTCCAATGTCACAGTTAAAGGATATACTAATTATTTAGTAATATGATAATTTAACGATTTTTGCAATTTGTTAAACGTTTCCAGGTCGGGGACAATACAATTGTCGAATTATTGTAAAGGTTGTACTTGAGTGAATATTATATATGATAGCATGATTTATGAATGAAAAAATTCGTACTTCAAATTTGTTGAATAGAAAAAAATACGGCATTGAGAAATTACGCTGTGCTTAAAGAAACCTAAACAGCATAATCAATAATGTTGTTTGCAAGGAGTGAAAGCGTTTTCAAACCAAAATTTTAACTATTTGTTATAACTACAATAAAACGTTGATTCAAATTATTGACAGTATAATAGTAGATAGCTTCGAACAATATAAACGTTTCGTTCCAGGAACTATATTTTATATAATTAAAAAAGGCACAATATAACTTAAAAACGTTTTTTATTAATTTTTTTTTACAAATTAAAAATCAGTGAGCTATCTGATTATCATACTGCCAATAATTTTACTCAACGTTTTTTTGTAGTAATAACAAATAGTGTACATTTTGGTTTGAAAACGTTTTCAAACACTGGTTATTATGTTTTATTAATCGTATTCTTCTCTTTTTTAATTTTGAATTATTCCTCATATCAGTATAACTTATAAATAAGGGTACCACTATTAGTCTGGAGTCTTTTGATGTTTATTTGTCATAGAGTAGTATTTTTGATGATTACCTCTAACATTGTAGTGTAAGTTATTTTTCATTAAGTCTTAAAAACTTCTGCACATATAACTTACGCCGATGGAGCTCGTTACAAGAGTAACATAACGAAGTTAAATTTAAGTAAACTTTGGTTATTCCCAAATAATTAAGGATAATTTTATTCCAATTATACAACTAAGTGTGTATGGTATGCAAATTGCATGTATTTTAATAATCCGTTATTAATTGACAATGTCTTAGTAAAATTTCTGTTATACCGCACGGCCTTAGAGTGATTAATGACATGAAATTTAAATGAATAATAATGAACTTGAAAATGCGTATGAATTTGTTTACGTCTATTATATATACGTTCAAAAAGTTCCTATTTATAAAAAAAACTGTTCAAATATTCAAGTTTTATTAAACAAAGTTTTTATTGACTAGCTGGTAATCATCATGTAATAATATATTTAATTATACTCAAATACATTTTATTGCGTGGGTTCGTTAAGTTAGTCGTGACTCGTTAGACTTTTTGTTGTATCAATTTTATTTCATCGAGTTCATAATACAAGGAAAACGGATCAATAAAATAATATATTATGATTTAATTTAAATTTTGAATATCCTTCATACTGGTTTTATTGTGTACTCATTTTGGATGATTTCGTGTGTAAAATTTGATTAGTTAACCCATTAACTTCCAAGTTTTTGTACTTTTTTTTAGTTGTTTACTGTTTAAACATTTTTGCTTATATATAAAATGTCATGTTAGGTTTGACAACTTAAAAGCAGACAAAAAGAGTTATACCATGAGTTTTTAGTAATAAAAGAAATAAACATACTACAATTAAATTTGTTAAAAACTTTTTCGCCACTTATGAAGTTGTTAGTCGAGTGCACTTGCTATAATGAATAGGATATTTTTTGCTATTTATCTTTAACGAGTCCTTTGTAACTATTTCAAATAACTAAAATTAAATTTAAAGTTTACTATTTATTTATAGTTCAATAGTTGCTTGCTTGAACAGAGTCATTATGAGGGATACAATGAGTATAGAATAATAGAGATCAAAATGTATTTCTAATAATAATAATGGCTATATTATTCTAGAGACACCTTTTTTTTATTACTAAAGTTTAACGTTTGCTATTAACATCGAAAGTTCGAATAGACAATTGTGATTATGATAATCGTTCTTTTTTACCGTTAACGATAGATGTTTAAAATAAATGACGCTTTAATATCTTCAATGCCTTGTTGCAATTTATATTTAATCTTTTTAATTGTTGGAATTACTGCCATAATGGCACTGTCAAATTGAAAAGCAGCTTAATATATTGATTTGAATATGACGTATTATTAGATATTAATTTTAGTTTTACTATGGATGTCTACTTAAGTTTTTAATTTAACTTTAATGTTAATATATGTTGTAACTAAAATTACCATTTGCCTATTAAATTATAAAAGTAACTTTCCCGAATTTGACGGTGATATGTATGAAATCAAGTAGTTTAATATTTGCTGCTTAAAAATACATTTTAGTGCTAACAGGCAAAATAAACCACACGTCATTGTTGAAATCAATACACATCGAAGCTAAAAAAAAAGGCGTTGAATTTGTTTCTGTCGGACGCTAAAGTCTTTCGGACTAGACTGTTTATATAGAGAGTAACGACTTGACTTGGAATTCGGTAGTTTACGGTCGGCTGCAATTGAAGCTTAACGCTTTTCAAACGGGCATTAAGGGCTAAGAAAGCTTTTCACGTCCGCCAAAACGGATGTCGATAAATAATTTTAAAAACAACCGCGAATGAGCACCGCAATTGATGAATATCCTCATACAAAATGCTATGGTAACCGAACATTGGTAACTTTCTTAATTAAACTACCGCAGTCGACTTTTTGGTGAATTAACAAGAATAATTATTTTCACTCGAATGTTAATAATAAATTATTAGCATCATTGTTGTCATATTGAACAGTTAATCCCAACAAAAACACTTCGTTATCTAAGTTGAAAAGGTCGCTAAATAAAAATAAAATACAGAAGTGTTTTTAACATTAACCTTAAAATATGTTGTATAGTATAGGAACTAAGTAAATAATATAATTTTATCTAAATAATATACACCGTTGCCAACAAATAAAATCTATGTAAATACATTTAACCAATAAATATCATTATTTGTATACATGTATCAAAACGTAGTCATGTAATAATCGAAATTGAATTTATTAGGTCGGAAGTAGAAAAACAGAACATAATAAACTGAGAATAGTATTAATCCTCCAACAACATGCTTAAAAGAAGTATCTCGAAAATGTACATTTTTGCTTACATCTAAGTACGAGGTGTGTTCAAAAAATACCCAGACTAAAATTCCTACCAATAAACTATTAATATTATAACACACCTATAATTATATAGAAATAAAATAGAGACAATTTCCAGTACTTTAGTATAGAACTATAGTCATTACCTCAAACTTGATATTTACAGTTCACATTCATAGTGAGACAGTAGACTTATAGTAAGTATTGAACCTGTCTAATTTTTCTATATAGACATCTAGACAACTTTCCCAATTTACTGACACCTCATAATATAATCAATTCTGTCCAGCCTTACGCTCGCAATCTGCACAAAGAAAATGTTAATATTTATACGGGTTAAATGGGATTACTCTGTTTCGTGTATATTATATGATGTATACATTTTTTTATTGTACTTTGTTGCCATGTCGTTAGATGTATTTAAATTTTTTTAGCAGGCCATTAAAAAACAGGAACTCGTCCAAAATAAACTTGATAATAACTCGA